TTCGTATTTTACAATACGTACTATCCATTATAATCACAGACAGTGATCATTTGTTATTACTTGCGTGCGCCACCTAATAATCTATACACGCCTGTTAACCACAGCAGAGATGCTTTGGTATAAAATACAGCTTGTAGTCCAAGACTAGGACTCGGGATAGTTATACTTTACTACTGTTGATTTCGAATTTGACTAAGTTCCTTTTCCATGTTCAGCAATTCTCTCGTCATCTGTACTCGTTCACGTAGTAATTCATTACGTCGTTCCTCTGCCTCGACATCAATATTTACACTAACGTTGACACTATTCAATGTAGGTTCTTCAGAGCCCACTGATTGGTGTTGCGTTGTCATGCGGCGTGTTCTTCTAGTTGGAGTGTTCCTTATAACTTTGCGTTTCTCTACATGTGTAATAATTGTCTTAGTTGGTAATAAGAAAAAAAGGGCTTTGAGTCAATCAACACTTACGAGATCGCCTGGCAGCAGCAGTTTGACGGTAAACGAGTGAATTATTTATAGAATCACCAATATTATATTGTTCGAGTGTTTCAATTGTTTGCCATTGATGGTAATCAAAATCACGTCCTCTAAAGGAAATAGAAAACCGGGTTAGAAGGGGCTTTCTCTGAATTTGAGAAATGTTCAACTTACTTTAGGATAGCTGAAAGCAGGGAGAGGGATTTTCCATCTAAGTTTATATTAGCATGAGCACTCTCACTGGCATTGGTGTTGTGTGGTGGTAAATTCCAAACCTCTCGAGACATTTTGGAGTAAACAAGTGAAATACTAGCCAACATCCATGGATCGCGCTTGTCACGAACCCAATCTTGATAGTAAATAAACTTTTGAGTTGAATAAAAAAAACACTAAATGTCATACTTATCAAATCTAATAAGTAGCTTACTGATTGCTTCAGGAATTTCACTCGACTCGATTTGGTACAAAAGCAGTTGGACTTGTGCTTCGGTTTCTTGATTCGGTATCGCATACATCATTTTCTTTACTTCTTCAGGAATTTTTTTATTCCTAATATTCCTGTAACATTATTAGAAATCAGTAAAATAGAATGCATATGTATTTGCTGATAATGTTAGCGAACGAGACAAAGTGGTTATCACCAACCAATTATAATGCACTATACAAGTTTGATATATATGTTCAAGATGTTCGGTGGTGGTGCGACTAGGATCTATTTTATGTAAATAAAGACCTAATCCTGCATGACAGACGTAAAGATTAATACAGATAAATGGTGTTTTTGCGCAATACAATGTAAATATTTCAAGTCACCTTTTGCTTGTCCCTCGTGAGCATCTGCAACAATCTTTTGAACGCCCTCACCATCTATGTGGTGAAACTTTAATCTGTGACCCACATCATTTTCCACAATAGAGAAGACTTCCGTAAACACATGTTCGTATGCATTAGCAGTCTCAACATCCGTGAAGACTCGAGCAAAGGGTAAGGCTAAAATCGGAGCAAATAAATTACCATCGCAATTAACTACGGTAACCGTCAGAAAATAGCCAACTTACTTTTATTGTAACGTTCGATGAACGCGTTTATTTCCCATTCCTTAATAACACCTTGGACACGTTTGAAGCTTGCATCGATTTCGAAGCTTTTTAGTTGTTGAAGTTGTCGTGATTGATACGCTGTCATGCAGATAATCAAAATCTGACCAGTTTCGTAAAAATCTATAACGAAAATAAACATGAAATTCTGAGTTGATTGATATTTGAGTGATAATATTAATCGAAGATTCGTACGTATATGGCGGATGTAGGGGTTTTCAGAATTTCTGTGATTTCGAGAAAACTCGCTAATCACACCTGTATTTCGATCGGAAGGAAATAAGTAGTTAAAGTAAAGTGAAAATAATAATAATAATGATTGAATACTGAGCATACCGTAAATATCCTG